GTCACTATATTTAAAACCTCACATAGATAGCTGTATAGATAAGTGAGGCAAGAGAAAATAAATGAATGAAGCTTTATTTGTGTGCAAACATGTCTAGTGATGCACCGAGCTCCAAAGTCTCAGCTTGCCAGTAGTTTAGTGAAGAATGTCATCCAACCTCTGAGGACTGTTCAGCCCACACAGGACCTGAGTCACTCTGCAGAAGTGCCTGTCTCTCATGATGGATTACAGACAGATCCCAGCAAAAGCAAATCGATGCCCTGAATACATACAATTCAGATATGGATTCAGAGCTTTTTGTCAGAGGTATTACCTTTGTGTCTTTGCTCTTTGACCTAGAGATATGCAAATGTGTCGTAGAAATATATTTTTTGAATGGAATTAAGAGTCTAAGAGCAAAAGTATGAGCCAGATAATTGTGGCTTAAATTACCACCTTTCAGCTGAGATGTTTTAACTCCTACCCTATTGCAACTTTGCAAGTGGCTAAAATTTTAAAAGTGTTATCCCTGGAAAACTTAAGTCAGTGTTCTGAGGTTTCTAATGGCAATTCTCCAGCATAAACTGGGCCCAAGGCCATGTTACATACTTTGTGTGTGTCATTTCAAATGCAGGTTTGTTATCATTTCAAATGCAGGTTTCTTACCATTTCCTGTCCCTAATGATATATCTTCAGTGGGTACATCTCAGACTCTTCTCAGGTAAAGACTTGGTCATATCACCTTTCCAGAGCTGACGTGAATACACCCAGACTCCTGTTGTTTCCAGCTGGGGATGTATTAACCTTGCCTCTAGTGTGTGACCCCATGCTTTGCATTTCTAGTTTCAATACACTTTTACTACTTCAGTCCTTCAGGCTGTCAGTCCAGTTAACTTTGTATGATCTTCCATCTTCACCTTTCTACTGAGGACTTACACGTTTGTGTCGTTGGCAAATGTTGTAGGCATACTCTGAATTTTTGTAATACTATCAGTAAAACACATAGCTCCAAAAACATAATTTGAAACATCACCAGTAATCTAATTCCATCCCAATAATATCCCTTTTTGGTCCAAATATTGTTTCCTTCCTTAAAACTATGTTGTGATTATTTTGTGTTTCCAGAGCACCTTATTCAAAATATTTTTTTTTTCCCTGAGTGGCATTGTATCCAATATATATGATCATATCAGCTAGATTTCCTGTGTTCCTTTTTTAAAAATATTGGTTATCTTAGAAAGAGATATGCCAGGTTAATTTGGCATAATGATAGTCTATTTTGAGACAAAGTTTTTACTCAATTTATTCCATTTTTGTTACCTCAATGTCTCTAGCTATGCAGTGCTTCTTTATTTGTTTCAAATCCCTGCACAGCTCATGAGGTCAGAGCTACTTGTTTTTAGGTTGCCTGGATCATGTACATTTCTTTAGCTTAAAAGAAAAAAACCCTAGATATTTTTTTTTTCAGGCATTCGATTGGCAGCCTGATAGATTCATTAGAAGTCTTTGTTGTTAAACTGCCCTTTCATGTACAAGTGTTTTGAGTACTCTCAAGTGGAGATTCTAGGGTCTTGCCCTCTTGGTCTAGACACTTCCTTAAAAAACAGTTTTATGCCTTTGTTTTGTTCTCATCTTAAATGAGTAATTTTCATTTCCACAGAGCGTATCATTAGCCACACTGCATTTGCTACTAGTAGTCAACATCCCCATATTAATTTTGTTCTGGACTGCCTGTAAATTATCTCTAATCTTAACTGCTTTTTTTCTGCCTGGTGAAGCCAGTCTTTCTCCTGTTTTCTTTTTATTTGGATGATGAAAGTACATTTTTGTACTTGCAATTTTGCAAGATCTGACCCTGCCTAACAGTCTCTGTTCTCACTTTCTTCATATATTTTCTGACATCTGACAGTTTTCCTTGCATGTTATTTTCATGTCCCTCCCTACAAGCTTTCTGAATAGTCCAGATATACTCTCTGAGGTGACTGCTCATCTAGTTAGAAATTGAGCCCTTTGTTATAAAAGGGTTTTCTTCATGTTTGAAGCTGCAATTTTTTTTCACAGACCAGAGCCACAGTCTTTCTTAATGGCATTATTGGATTTTCTTGAGTCTCCATTATTTCCTTATTTTCTGTTTGTTGTTTTTTTAACATTTATTTGTCTTGTGGCTATTTAAAAATGGGATGAATGTGCCATCACTTAATCTGAGATACAGTTTTCTTGACCAACTATTCAGTTGTACCTCACTTTTCTGATGTTATGCGTCACGTACTCAGGTACTTGGATCCACCCTTTATTGGCAGAATTTATTTGCTCAGAAGTTACAGTGTCAGCTCATAGTTTTCATAGTGCTATTTACCCCTTAGTTATGATTTCATTATATTAAATGCTTTCTAAATATTACAGAAATTTATATACAACAAATGGGATCCAACAAAACGTTTCTGAAAGGAATCTGAAACTAGTAAGAAACATTTTGTGCTTTCTCTAATTTTCTTACAGCTTATCATATACTTCTTTTATACTTCGTCCCATCACTATTTTTGCTATGAGGAAGATCATAATATTGGTGCATGTGGATGTGGGAAATAAGCAAGAGGATTACTCTGTCAAACTGACTTGCAGATCTACTGCATCATCTATATGGCAGGGAAGATGCAGTGAGTTATTCAAGCTATTGCAGGCAGTTTCATTTGGCTTCTACACTTGATGGTTCTCTCATACAAATTTTTGGGCAGAATACTGCCATTTCTTTACAGTAAAATAAAAGGAAAACCAACTGGCAAAATTGGGATATTTTAAGGGGTGGTCAAAGTGAAAATCACATATGAGATCTTACAAATTCATGTTAGTTCAATTCCTAATAGTTTCTTTCAGTTGCATGCAAGTGATCTTCCATTACTTCTCTCATTATAAACCAAGAAACTGCTCTGTATAACTACTCTTAATGAGGTGTTTTATTCATTTTCTTTACACAGCCTGTATGCGTTTTAAGTTGAATTATTTTTTTCCTTTATGCATCATATGTTACATTAGTGCATATTTAACTGAGAGAGCTTAGTGCTGTTGGACCATTGGTACTAACTGATAAGCAGTGGCTTCTGCCTTGCTCTTATATCCTACTTTTGCTTTTCTTGTCCTTTACCACCAGAGAGTTATTCAGTAATTTTTAAGGCAGCAACTCCTGTTTTAAAACAAGAACTAACAGGATTCTCTTTTATGTTTTAGATTTATGTTTTTGAACTGTATCTTGTATTAAGAAAATCTTGGCTGGCAAAGCTTTATTGAGCAACAGAAGATGCTCCTTTTTCTGATTAGAAATGTCTTTTTATGATAGTTATTTAAATTCCTTCTTATTGGCAGCAGACTGGGCTTGTATTTTTCAGGCAGTTGACTGTAACTGCAGCAACAGATGCATTTAAAATAGGCTGCAATAAGATTCTGTTTTTGAGATGTAGCGATTGGAAGGGAATCTGCTTCTGTCAATCAGATATATATTCAAATGGTATTTATTTTAAAACTGAATACTCTAGTTTCAAAGCTATGCAATTGTTTTCACGTTTACTACCAAAACTGTGAAGGAATGCTAAAGAATTAAGTGATAGAAATTTGCACCTGGAAGTTAGTGTAAAATATGATACTTATTATGCAATATAATTACTCTAAATTGTCAATTCAGCTGCATATTTCGCTATTTTTAAGGAAAACTAAAGTATTTAAAACAAACACCTTTATAATTTTCCACGTTATTAGATATGTTAGAAGTTTCAAGCAATGCATTATTAAAACAATAGAAGGCTGGCATGCCATGTCATAGAATCACATAACAGTGTGGTTTGGAAAGGACCTTAAAGGTCATCTAGTTTCCACCCTTCCTGCCATGGGCAGAGACACACATTCCACTAGACCAGGTTGCTCAGAGCCCTTTCCAAAATAGCCTGGAACACTTCCAGGGATGGGACATCCACAGCTTCTCTGGGCAACCTGTTCCAGTGCCTCACCACCCTCCCAGTCTATAACTTATTCCCAGTATCTAATATAAACTTCTCTCTTTCAGCTTGAAGCCATTGCCCCTTGTCCTGTCACTACATGCCCTTGTAAAAGGTCCCTTTCCATCCTTCTTGTAGGCTCCTTTCAGGTGTTGAAAGGCTGCAGTTCGGTCACCCCATAGACCTCTTCTCCAGCTGAACAAACCCGATTCTCTCAGCCTTTTTTCCTAGGAGAGGTGCCCTATCCCTCTAATCAACTTGGTGGCCCTCCTGTGAACTCATTCCAACAGGCTGATGTCCTTTCTGTGTTGGGGACCCCAGAGCTGGATGCAGTACTCCAGGTGGGGTCTCATGAAAGCAGAGAAGAGGGGCAGAATCACCTCCCTCAACCTGCAGGCCACAGATTTTGATGCAGCCCAGGGTATGGTTTGCTTTCTGAGCTGCAAGTGCCCATTGCCAGCTCATGTCCACTGGATCCATCTCTCTCCAACTTAGAGAGAAGGATGTTGGGGACTATGTCAAAGGCCTTACAGGAGTCTAGATAAATGGCATCTGCAGCCCTTCCCTTATCTCCTGATGCTGTCACTGCATTGTAGAAGGCCACTAGGTTGGTCGGTCAGGACTTGCTCTTGGTGAAGCCATACTGACTGTCTCAAATCCTCTCCCTTCTATTTTTAATTGCATATGAACTATGTTAAGTTAATCTGTTAGTCATGTTCATTTAAAAATGTAATTGATGGAATCTATTTTAAAAGCTGGATAAGAAAATATCACTGATGCTGTCACTGCATTGTAGAAGGCCACTAGGTTGGTCGGTCAGGACTTGCTCTTGGTGAAGCCATACTGACTGTCTCAAATCCTCTCCCTTCTATTTTTAATTGCATATGAACTATGTTAAGTTAATCTGTTAGTCATGTTCATTTAAAAATGTAATTGATGGAATCTATTTTAAAAGCTGGATAAGAAAATATCACTTTCTGAATGAAAAAAAAAAAAAAGGACGGGACACCCTTTTTCCTTGCTTTGCTAGGCCATGGAAAGTGTGACTGTGGGAAGTGCAAATGTGATGAAGGCTGGTATGGCGAAGCTTGTCAGTACCCAACTACTTGCAATCTTACACGGAAGAAAAGCAATGAAATGTGCAAGAATTCTCAAGATATCATCTGTTCTGGTGCAGGTAAGATGTCTTTTGTTGGTTTTGATGGCTTGATGATCTCTCAGTGTTATCTTGAGAATCATTGTAATTTCTTTTCTAGCTAGTAATTTTGTAGAGTATGTTTCAAGAGACTGAGATATAACTGTGTGTATACTAAAATGTTTGATCTTCCTGTAGGCCTGTTTCTGTGCATATAATGTACACTGATCTAGAAAATCTACTTTAGTACTCCAGTTTATCCATAACTGTTTTAGATTGGTAAAACTGCAGCTGTGTCATGTATCTTGCTCATCAAAATGTTGTGGTAATGGCATTAACACAGGAAGTGATGTAATTTCTTTTTTATTTTTGTGCTTACAGTATGCAGAAACGGCACCTGAAAATATTTTTCCAGGACATTTATAAGCTGTACATCTTCACTTTTCTGATTTAGTAACACCCTTTTCACTAATTGTTTAATTTTATAACTATCCTAGCTTAAACAGAAAGTCCTTAAACAATATCAGGAGAAAACCAAACACCCTTTTAGAAGACTTCACTGTGGTAAAATTTTGAAGGCACTTGCTGCCAGTCAAGGTTTGAAACCAGAAATTACCTTCTGTTCTTTTCCATTACTTTGATCTCTGAGTGAAAGTGTTTCAAGAATCACACTTCTGCTCATATTGCTGGCCTTTAATCTCTGTCTGGACCCATACATTTTCATGTGACTAAATTTCTCACAATGAGATGTCATGCTGACATAAACAAACAACCCAAAGAGTTTTTGGGATTGAGAGACACATGAGACAGCTAAATGAGAAACCGACTCACAAAAATAGGTATAGTTCATTGTAATCAGTCATGGGTCTTAAAAAAACCCTCCTTCTTTCATTGGCTAGAAGTGGCCCCAGTCTTCACAGGAAAACCAGTGTAGCTGAACAACCACTAAAAGTAGCTAAGAGGAGAGTGTTTGTGACATCAGGAGAAGAATAAATGCTTTTGGTTTTGCTGATCTTAAAACAGGAGAGGAATTCCAATGAGACTGGCTGAGTTTGGGGGAACTTTGATGGACTATAGCTCTATTTTTTTCTTGGTGGGATTGCCTTTTGGTCCACTACTAGCATTGTTGTTGAGGTCTGAGCTCTGTTTCTTAATTGCCAATAAAAGATCAGAAGGGATAACATGAATTGTTAGAAAAACAGTCCTCTGCTGTCACACAAATAACTGTTCATTATAATACTTTTAATGAATCAATCAAAATCCATCCAAAATTTCATTTTTCTGACTCAACTGTTCCTAACCATTTGTCATAGCAACTGTATCATCCTACCTAAACTGAGATTCTCTGTGTGAGCAATTACCACTTCTGGTCAATGGGCACATTTATGATACACAACCTCTCTGACCAGTTTAGATACCCAATTTAGGAATCAATTTACCATTTTGTCTTTTTTTTATGCGTAAGAATTATCTGTAAATGTGGTATCTTTCTCAAAACTTTTATTTGTATATGTTTCCCAAGTAGTTTTAGCAAATAACTCTAGTTCTGTAGGTTACTTGTGTTGTATTATCAATTATATTATTGTTATCTTATTATATTAGCTTTTGCAAACATTTTTAGTTTCCTTTTGCAGAATGGCCATTTCTGCTGAAGAGCCCAATACTTCTGTTCCTTGGGTTAATATGATGTTTAGCAAGAGTTGTGCTATAATTGTAAGGGTAAAACATAAACTGGTTTCTGCAAACTATTTGTGTAATAGCCATAAAACTTCTATTTTTGGAGGACTTCTTTGATGTAAATAAACATGCTTTCTGAAATATGTATAGGTGTCGTGTGAGGAGTATGAATCTTGTGAAGTTCATAGGTACAAAAACTATACTTCCCAGCACAGTGATGCCATTGACTGATGCCATTGACTGCTGAAACAACTTGTGCAAGCTCCTTGACCACAGGGCCCTAGTAATGTGCTATTGCAGAAAGTTCCTAACCTTGCTATTTTAATAAAGGTGATAGAAGAGAGTTAGGGGAAAGGAGTGTCTTATACGACCAGCACAGTAATACTTTTGTTTCTAATGTGATTTTAAAGTGGGGTTTGTTTTTTTTTTTTACTGTATTTCATGTCTTATGTGACTAACACTTCTATTTATAACCTCAGGTCAGACAGACCCTCTAAGAGGGGGATTC